GCCTCGAACTCACAGAGATCCACCTGCCTCTTTCTCTTAAGTGCTGGGATTAAAGATGTGCACCACCACCACCTGGCAAAAGCCGCATATTCTTGGGGTTGGAAGAATGGCTCAGTGGTCAAGGGTAAGGACTACTGTTACAAAGGGCTCAAGTTCTGTTCCAAAGACCCGAGTCAGGAGGCTCACAACTCATATTCCAGTTGGTCTGACATCTGCGTGTATATGGGCATACACACACAGGACTAAAATCTTTTTTTTTTTTTTTTTTTTTAAAGATTTATTTATTATGTACACAGTGTTCAGCCTCCATGCCTGAAGGCCAGAAGAGGGCGCCAGATCTCGTTACAGATGGTTGAGAGCCACCATGTGGTTGCTGGGAATTGAACTCAGGACCTCCGGAAGAGCAGTCAGTGCTCTTAACCACTGAGCCATCTCTCCAGCCCCAGGACTAAAATCTTTAAAAAGGAGGAGGCTGAAGTGTGGTTTAGTGTGGTTTAGTGGTTAGTAGCTGTGTGGTTTAGTGTGGCTCCATTCTGTTTCCAGCACCCCCATGGAGTGGCTGACAAGCACTATACCCCTCCACCTCTGGAGAAGTCCAGTGCCCCTAGCCTTCTGTGGAATTTGCATTCAAATGTATTTACCCACAGACAGGTACATACATGTAATTGGAAACAAATCTTTTAAAATTTACTTCTGTAGGTGTTTTTTGCCTGCTTGGATACTGCACAGTACGTTTGTGTGCGATGTCTTTGGAGGTCAGGAGATAGTGTGGTTGCTGGGAATCTCACCCTGGTCCTCTGCCAGCAAGGACTCTGACCTACTGAGCTGTGTCTCAGTTCCCTAAATTTAAGTGTTTTGACCCAAACTGCCCAGCTGTGGTAAAGGCTCTTCTCTCTGGAAAGTCTCTGTTTTCCATGCCTGCTTGTTTGCAGGTATACTAACTCTTGGCTCCATGGGCCCAAAGACCTAGAGCGTCTTAAGTAGCAATGTTAGTCATGGTATCCTGATCCCAGAGTTACCAGTCTTTGATTTCTACCTACGTGCGGGGTGTGTGTGTGTGTGTGTGTGTGGTGTGTCTGCTTGCTGAGTGCTAATTCTAGACAACTATTCTAGACAACTGTACTTGCTCATGGGGGGGGGGGGGGACATAGCACTAGCCCAGGCTGTGGCAAGGTCACATACTAGGAATACCAGGGTTTCCCAGTCATATGAGGATGTGGTTATTTTAATTGTATTCCAAATATAGCCTCACCTACCTGAGTCTCATGCTCCATACCTTCACTTGGGGAACTTTGGGGAACACTCTCCGCTTCCTGTTCTCACTGTGCGATTGGAGTGTGGTGTGAATTTCCCCAGAGGCTTGTTCTGCCCGGAGAAGTTCTCTGGTTGCTCCGCACTTGTTCCAGCTAGAGTGTATTTTTGGACTCCTCCTGCCTGTCTTGCCCACATCTTACTCTGCCTTGCTCAGAAGAGAGAGAGAGTGTAGGTGTATGTTCCTCAAAATCATGCTGTTCTCTACTCATAGTACCGGGCTATAGGCGAGAATGTCTGTGAAGATTTAAAGTCCATACTTGCTGACTGCGTCATCAGCTGGTGCGCAGGCAGGGAAATCAAGTCAGTTTCTTGTGTGTTATTTGTAGACCGCAAAGGCACGGCAGAGCTGGAGAGCTGAGTCAGCAGCTGCTGCGCTTACAGAGGCCCCAGCTGGGTTTCCAGCACCCACATCAGGTAACTCCCAACACCTGTGATTCCAGCCCCAGTGCCTGTACCATTCTCTTCTGGCCTCCTCGAAGCCACACCAGTATGCACACGCACAAACACAAAATTCATGTTTTTAATTGTACGTGTATTTACAGGTATGGTGCTTCTGTTTGTCTGGGGACCCACATGTGTGTCTGGAGCTCCTGGAGGCCAGGAGAGGGCATCAGATCCCCTGAAACTGGAGTAACTAAAAGTCCTAAACTGCTGTGTGGCTGTCGGTAATCAAACCTGGGTTCTGAAAGAGGAGCCAGTGCTCCTGACCACTGAGCAATCTCTCCAGTCATTAAAAAAAAAAAAAAAAAAAAAAAAACCAGCTGGTGGTGACACCCAGAGTTTGGGGCCAGTCTTGACTACATAGTGACCTCCAGGCTAAGCAGGACTGAATAGTAAAACCCTTTTTCTTTTTCTTCTTTTTGTTTGCTTTGTTTTGTTTTTTGAGACAGTTTCTCTGTGTAATCCTAGCTATCCTGGAACTGCCTCTGCCTCCTGAATGCTGGGATTAAATGTGTATGCTGCCACCACCTGACTGAGACCCTCTTTCAAAAACAAAAACTTAGACAAAAACCAAAGATAGCAAGCAGTTTTCACCATGATGCAGGTTACTTCTTGACTATCTAAAATTAGAATCCAGACACCAGAATGGAGTGGTTTGTATTTCTTTTATCCGAGGATCACCAGGCAAACAGGCTGTGTTGAGTTGAGGGTTTGGAGTACGTGGCTGTGGAGAAGGGTGTGAGTGGGTGGGGGCTTTGTAGCCCAACCTTGCTTCAAACTCAGAGTCTCTTGATTTAGACTCCTGAATGCCAGAATTACAGGCCTGTGTCACTACAGCCTGAACAAATAGTTTTTAAATTTAATTCTTTGTAAAAAAAAAAAAATTCCTTACATATATACAGTGTTCTGCTTGCATGTACGCCTGCATTGCAGACCAGAGGAGGGCGCCAAATCTCATTACAGATGGTTGTGAGCCACTGTGTGGTTGCTGGGAATTGAACTCAGGACCTCTGGAAAAACAGCCAGTGCTCTTAACCTGTGAGGCTCTCTCCAGTCCCTCTTTGTACTTATTTGTGTGAGTGGGACAGAACTTGTGGGAGTTGGTTCTCTCCTTCCACAGTGTGTGTTCCAAGGGTCACTAGGTAGGTCACCAGGCTTGGGAACAAATACCTGCACCAAGCTACCTCACATGCCCAGTTTTGTTTGTTTGTTTGACTTGGTTTTGTTTTGTTTTTACTTAAATAGTACCACTGATTAAATCATGTATTATACTTTACATTATCATAACCAAGCTACTTGGGCCAGTCATAGTGGCACATGTCTTCTTCAGTTTCAGCGTTCGAGAGGCAGAGGCAAGCAAGAGCTCTGTGAATTCAAAACCAGCATGGCCTACAAAGCAGGTTCCAGGCAGCCAGGGCTACATAAACCTAGTCTCAAAAAAAAAAAAAAAAAAGCAGCAGCCTGGACAGACTGCTTTTATAGTTCCCCCAGTACTAAGGTTTAAACCCAGGGTCCATGCATACTAAACATTCTGCCCACTGAACTGTATATTTTCAGCCCACATTTTTTATTTTATTATTTTGTATTTTATTTTATTATAGGTAAATTAGAATTTTCATGATTTTTTAAATGTCTAAACTCCTGCTTATCTGACAGCTTACCCACCATCTTCCTCTCCAGACAGGAGCTGCACCACTTAAGGGCTCTAAGGCCCCTTAGCATAGCCCAGCATTTCCTCAGACTCAGTCTCACAGTGTAAGTCATTGCTACCCTGCAGGGAGTAAATGTCTCACCCCCAGGGAGAAGGAGGAACTAGCTAGCAGGCCTGGGTTGGTAGGCCATTCAGAATCCCACACACAGCTGATAGGGCTGAATCTGGGCCTGTCTGTTCTCACCACATTCCCACCCAGATTTTGGATGGTCCCGGGCGCTTGCCTGTTCGGTTGAGGGTGTCATAATAAGCTCAATTTATTTTATTTTAAAGTATTTAGATTTATTTTTTTTTGTATGACTGTTTTGCTTGCATGTGTGCATGTATATATGTACCATGTGTTTGCCTGGTAGCCTCAGAGGTTGAAAAGATCATTAGATCCCCTAGGATTGGAGTTACAGAGAGTTGTGAACCCTCATGTGGGAAGAACAAGTGCTCTTATGTAGGAGCCATCTCTCCAGCCCCTAAAATGTTAATCATTTTAAAAACCGACCTAAACCAGGCAATGTGGTGGTGCACACCTTTAATCCCAGCACTCAGGAAGCAGAGACAGGTGGATCTCTGAGTTCAAGGCCAACTTGGTCTACAAATTGAGTTCCAGAACAACCAGAGTTTTTGCTCAGAGAAATCACATCTCAAAAAACAAACAAACAAACAAAAAAAAACAAAACAACAACTAGAGAGATGGCTCAGAGGTTAAGAGCACTGGCTGCTCTTCCAGAGGTCCTGAGTTCAATTCCCAGCACCCACATGGGCTCACAAACCATCTATAGTGAGATCTAGTACCATCTTCTGGCCTATACATGCCAACAGAACATTGTATACATAGTAGATAAATCTTAAAAAAATAGACCTAGAGATCTTGAGAAAAATGTTAACCTCAGCCAGTAGTGATGGCTGATGCCTACAATACCAACTACTTGGCAGTCCTAGGCAGGAAGTATACATGTTCTAGGCCAGCCTGAGCAACTTAGTGACTTTCCTTCCTGGGTGGAGCTCAGTTAGGCTGCTGTCCAGCTAAATGTAAGCCTGGAGATTAGCGCCTAGCACTGCTGCTCAAGAAAGAAAAGTCACAAGGTATCACTGTGTAGCCCAGGCTGGCCTCAGAACTTAGGGTGTGGAACTGGAGAGTTGGCTAAGCAGTTAGGAGCACACCTGTGCCTTCTCTAAGCCCCACCCACATGGTCGCTCACAGCTATCCCTAACTACAGATCCAAGGCTTCCAATGGTCTCTTCTGAGCTCCTCAGGCACCAAGCAAGCATGGAGTGCACAGACAGACATGAAGGCAAAAGGTGTAAGATGAATAAATCTGATAAAATATTAAACAAAAATAATATTAAAATATTAAACAAAAATAGTCCTATATAGTTAACATAACTGTACATATTTAATAACAAAACTTTAAGAAATTACTATTTTAATTTTTATACATTGTTAATGAAAGTATAATTGTGGGGGGCTGGAGAGATGGCTCAGAGGTTAAGAGCATTGCCTGCTCTTCCAAAGGTCCTGAGTTCAATTCCCAGCAATCACATGGTGGTTCACAACCATCTGCAATGAGGTCTGGTGCCCTCTTCTGGCCTGCAGGCATAACGCAGAAAGAATATTGTATACATAATAAATAAATAAATATTTTTTTTTAAAAAAAAAGAAAGTATAATTGTATTACTTTTCCCTTTCCTCCCTCTGGCTCCTCCCATGTTCCCCCTTCCCAACTCCTTCTGGGTTTTCCCCCTTACTCTCAAATTGATAGCCTCTTCTTCCTTGATTGCAATTATTGTGTGTTTGTTTGTGTGCAAAAATGTATGACTATAACCTGCTGAGTGTATTTTGGTTGATGTGTGTATATGGTTTCAGGGCTGACCACTCTGTATTGGACAACCAGTTATGGGGCCCATCCCTAGGGAGGACTAATTTTTTTTTTCCAAGACAAGAGATTTTCTGTGTAGCCTTGATCATCCTAGAACTCACTCTGTGGACCAGACTAGCCTCAAGCTCACAGAGATCTGCCTGCCTGCCTCCCAAGTGAAGTGCTGGGATTAAAGGTGTGTGCCACCACCACTACCCAGTCAAAAGACTAATTCCAAACTATCATCAGTCCCTGTCTTTTATTGTCTAGGAGTAGGACCCCATGTGATGTTCCCCTTTCCATATTAGCATTCCTGTTGATGTTACCATTGTTCCAGTTCTGTTCATGCAGCCATTCCTAGGAGACACTGTTTGACTTTTTGGTGTGCTGGCTCTTGGGATCTTTCTGCCATTTTTCTAGGATGCTCCCAAGCCATAGGTGTAGGAGCTGTGATGTAGATGTATGTACCCATTGGGCTGTGCTCCCCACGATCTGCTGATCTCTGGGTTGTGTCCAGTTGTGGTTTTCTGTAAAGGGAAACGTCTTTGATGGGGGTGCTGCTGCACTTACCCAAAACTGACAGCAGCTCAAGAAACCAGGAGGGATCCGTGGACAAAGGGATTAGTGGTCAGCTGTAATTACTTTTTTTGAGCCAGGGTCTCACTGTAACCTTACCTGTCCTGGAATTAGCTATGTAGACTGTTGTGAAATAGAACATTCATTTAACTAAATAAAGATGTATTACATTTGTTTGTTGCAGAATAATTGTTTAATTATGTAGATGTGTTGCTATTTCACCTTACCTGAGTAAGGCACCTGATTGGTCTATTAAAAAGCTGAATGGCGGGGCTGGAGAGATGGCTCAGTGGTTAAGAGCATTGCCTGTTCTTCCAAAGGTCCTGAGTTCAATTCCCAGCAACCACAGGGTGGCTCACAACCATCTGTAATGAGGTCTGGTGCCCTCTTCTGGCCTGCAGACATACACACAGAAAGAATATTGTATACATAATAAATAAATAAAATATTTAAAAAAAAAGCTGAATGGCCAATAACTAGGCACAGGAAGGATAGGCAGGGCTGGAGGGCAGAGAGAAAAGGGGAGCCAGCCAGGGGACAGACAGACTGGAAGGAAGCAGGAAAGCAGGATTGACAGTATGTAAATAGGAGAATGAGCCTGGGGCAGCATGGAGAGTATCAGGACTGGGTTCATTTTGCCCTGCATTGCTATCACAGGCCATTAATCCCAGCACTTGGGAGGCAGAGACAGGTGGGTCTCTGAGTTTCAGGCAAGCCAGGCTTTCATCATGAGACCCCGTGGTCGGCACCCGAAGCTCCTGTTCTCCGACCTACACTACCCTGTGGCACATGAATGAGCACACACACAACACACAAAAACGTTCGGAGTGAAAGGGAAATCTAGAGCTGCTGATGGACTACAGAGTAAGCGAAGCACAAGCCAGACCCTGGGCTCAAGCCGGAGACCCTTGAAGAAAGAGGACAGTTTGTATAATTGGATCCCACTGTGTATGATCTGACTTGACGGAGCTAGCATGCACACATGCACATCTTCCCATCTCAATATCTGCAGAGTCATTCTTCCATAATGACCTACCCTTTCGATGTTAGGAGAGTGGGGAGCAGAGGGGCAGAGACCTCAGATGATAGAAAGTGCGTGCCTTGAATGTCTGAGGCCCTGGGTTCCATCTCCAACAAAAACAAAATCCATACTCAGTTCTCAGCTACAGCATTTAATCCTCAGGCTTCACGCTGAGAGGAGCCTGCTGACTCCAAGCGCTTATTGTACTTTCCTCTACAAGCAGCCACTTCCTGGTTGCTCAGACTCAGAAGACCCGCGTGAGTGTGTAAGCTATTGGCCAGGCTCCTGGGCCCAGGAATGCTGCACTGCCTTTAATAGCTGTGTGAACAGACCTTCTATGGGCAACAGGCGGTTGCTGGGGTACCTGCATGTTTTCTTCCTTGGAGTCTGTGCTTACCATGCTGACTCTAAAATTTAGACCAGCTGCATTCTCAGAGGAAAAGGAGGTGAGGTTCCTGAGTGGAAGAGAAAGCCTGAAACGTTTTAGAAATGGAATAAAACAAAATGTCTGCTGCCAAGGCTGTGTCAACCTAGCAGCCTCCCCGAGGGGCGCGATGGGCTAGACCTGAGGCTGGAATGATTTCAGAAGTAGGGGACAGTTGATTAGCAGACACTTCCCTAAAACTAAGCAAAGCAAAACTCACAGTGCCTTCCAAGTGTAGGCTCCCGTTCCTAGAGTTGCGTTTAAGTACAGCACATACCGCCTCACTCAGAGAACTGTGACTGCTGAGAGGCTCCATCTCCAACTTTTTAAGGAACTCCCCGGACGGACCGTGAGCCTTTGGGCCACCCGGAGGTCTGAGAGCCTGGGCACTCCCCTGCAGACTTGTTCCTACCCACAGTGAGTAGCCTGAAGGAGTAGGTTCGGAAAGTAAACTACTGCTTTTATGCTGACCAGACTTGACTGCTCGCTTTGAACTCAGGCATGAACACAGTGGAGGAGCGCCTTCCTGGAATCTGGCCCGGTTTTTCTTAAACGCGCCAAAAAAAAAAAAAAAAAAAAAAAAAAAAAAAAAAGACAACGAAGCTCTTGGACTTGTTCGTGCTTTGGTGCTGAATTGTGCAAATACTACTTTTGAAATCTGACGGGGGGCATAAGTAACTACCCCGGAGCCAACGGAACTGAAAACAGGATCATCCTACCCAGATGTCCTGAGGTTCCCAGGAGCGCAACAGGGAATCTGGAACCAAAGGAGTGATTGTGGATTCGGGAGCCAAGCTCGCCTCTCCGGGCCTAACTCTGCAAACCGCTGGGCTGGACGGTGGTTAGCACACCTGGGAGCCCGCACTTGTCACCCGCCGTTGCCAGCTAAGCGTCCGCGGAGGCGGTTGAAAGTCCCGGAAGGGCAGAAAGGGAGCCGGCGTAGGCGGCCGTGACTCAACCAGCCAGCAGCGCTGGGGATAAAAGGGTTAAGTGGGCGTGGTCCGTGGTGTTCCGCCCCGGCAGACCCCGCCCACGGAGGCCGCGGCTGGCGTGCATATTTATAGAGGCGGTGCCCGGGGAGCCAGGGCGTCCCTGTGCCCGCAGTCCCGCGTCATGGAGCGGCCGGCGCCCTTGGCCGTGCTGCCCTTCTCCGATCCCGCGCACGCCCTGAGCCTGCTGCGCGGCTTGAGTCAACTACGCGCCGAGCGCAAGTTCCTGGACGTGACCCTGGAGGCGGCGGGCGGCCGCGACTTCCCCGCGCACCGCGCCGTGCTAGCGGCCGCTAGTCCCTACTTCCGCGCCATGTTCGCGGGGCAGCTGCGCGAGAGCCGCGCCGAGCGCGTGCGCCTGCACGGGGTGCCGCCCGATATGCTGCAGCTGCTCCTGGACTTCAGCTACACCGGCAGAGTGGCCGTGAGCGGCGACAACGCCGAGCCGCTACTGCGCGCCGCGGACCTGCTGCAGTTCCCCGCCGTGAAGGAAGCGTGCGGCGCCTTCCTGCAGCAGCAGCTCGACCTGGCCAACTGCCTGGACATGCAGGACTTTGCCGAGGCCTTCAGCTGCTCGGGGCTGGCTAGCGCGGCGCAGCGCTTTATCCTGCGCCACGTGGGCGAGCTGGGCGCCGAGCAGTTGGAGAGGCTGCCGCTGGCCCGCCTGCTGCGCTACCTGCGCGACGACGGGCTGTGCGTGCCCAAGGAGGAGGCGGCCTACCAGCTGGCACTGCGCTGGGTCCGCGCCGACCCGCCGCGCCGCGCGGCGCACTGGCCGCAGCTGCTGGAGGCCGTGCGCCTTCCCTTCGTGCGCCGCTTCTACCTGCTGGCACACGTGGAGGCCGAGCCGCTGGTGGCGCGCTGCCCGCCTTGCCTGCGCCTGCTGCGCGAGGCCCGCGACTTCCAGGCGGCACGCTACGACCGACACGACCGCGGGCCCTGCCCCCGCATGCGTCCGCGCCCGTCCACCGGCCTAGCGGAGATCCTGGTGCTGGTGGGAGGTTGCGACCAGGACTGCGATGAGTTGGTCACCGTCGACTGCTACAATCCGCAGACAGGCCAGTGGCGCTACCTGGCCGAGTTCCCCGACCACTTAGGCGGGGGCTACAGCATCGTGGCGCTGGGCAATGACATCTACGTGACGGGTGAGTGCGCTGGGGGCTTTCCAAGTGAAACACTCAGGACCTGAATCTTAGAGCTCGACCTAGCCCTTGGCAGGGACTGCGCTAGTTTTTCCATTTGTTTTCAAGCTATAAGAGCCCCCTGTGCTAGCAGAGACTTAACTGCTTTGTGGGTCTCCGTGCCTTACGTGGTACAGCCTGCCTTGCTTAGCCAACTCCTTGCCCCGGAGGTGCCTCCCCCTTTTGGGTTAGAAGAGACAGGGCATTGGCCTGGCACAATGGCTGCTTTCTTTTAATCCCCAAGGAATGCGGGGACAGGCTGCAGGCTGGCGCCTGGTGAGACATCTCACCCTCCCCAAAGCTGGGACTTTTCTCCCTCCCTGCTAAGCCACAGGGGCCTCCTGACTCAGTGGCTTTGTCACCAGTGACAAGGTCTCTTAGAGCCTGCACCTCGGCGATGCACTGTGGATCACATGGTGTTTAGGCTGCTCTAGTCTACGACTGTAAACATGGTCACATGTCGAGCGGTTTTCTTCCAGTTACTTGGCTGAAACCCCAAAACACTGCCGAGTCACTGTAGGCGGGCCCCAGCCTGCCCCTGTGCAGGGCTTCTCCCACGTTTTTCACCAAGGATGAATCCCGATGATCAAACTGAAGGGGAGGCTAGCTACCTCCTTCTCCGGGCCAGCGGGGATGGCCTCTGGAACTGCTATATAAGGAAAGACCACTGGGACCTATGTCCCTTATCATATCAGGCTGGCAGGCACGCGGCTGGGCTGTCACAGGGGCTCAGCTCCACATTCCACAGAAAGCCCACTTCGATATTCCGGTGGTGTGCTTGTGGGTCTCAGGGACAGCCTCCGCTTTCCCAACTGGTCTCTGGATCCAGCCCTCCTTAACAACCCCTGACCCTGCTCTGCTGGGCTCCGCCCTTACCACCCTACCCCCATCTCTGAAGTCTGGCTGGTGATTTTGAACAGAGAACGGCCAGACTCGCCCTTGAATAATTAGTGTCACAGCTGAACAGCTAATGGGGTGGAGGCAGGTGGCTCCGCCATTCCCTTCAGCTGCTGGTGGGGGATTTTCCTGAGGGGCCAGGAAGCTGCTTCAGCTGCTTCAGAGCGTCCCTGTGAAAGTCCCACAGTTTGTATAACATTCCTCAGACTCTTCCCTCAAAAGCTCTGGGCTGAGACAGAATGTCTCGGCCCTGTTCACGGCACCAGCCGGAAAGCCAGGGGCAGAGCCCCAAGATTCCTGGAGTCTCCTCATACCCTGAGCATTTATGTCTTAGATTTCCTTTATACAATTACTGTCTTTTGTTGACACACAAAATCTGTGTAGCTTGATAAGAGTTTGAATGAAGCATGTTTCTGTACTCTCCACTACAGTCAAAGCTAGAACCCCAGAGGTGTATGACGGTGTGGTTTGTGGCGTTAGGTCTCTTGGGTAACAGTGTGGGTTTCTTCTCATGTTCTGACACAGTCTTGGTTTCAAAGTGTCCAGGATGTCTAGGATTTGGTGGCCAAATCCCACGTTTAGTGTCTATCCAGAAGAGCTGCCCAGCCCCGAGATTGAATGGTCTGAGATAGTTACGTGTGATGGTGCGGCCGAGGGTAGTTTTGTTTGAGTCTTTTGTTTGTTTGTTTTGTTTTTTGAGACAGGGTTTCTCTGTGTATCCCTGTCCGTCCTGGACCAGGCTGGTCTTGACCTCAGAGACTGACCTGTCTCTCTGCCTCCCTCCTGAGTGCTAGGAGTAAAGGTACACATCTCGTCCCAGCTCTATTTTACTCTTTAAAGTATGAGTGTTTTGCCGGCATGTAGTCTGCACCATCTTCTTTTTTTTTTTTTTTTTTGGTTTTTCGAGACAGGGTTTCTCTGTGGTTTTGGAGCCTGTCCTGGAACTAGCTCTTGTAGACCAGTCTGGTCTCGAACTCACAGAGATCTGCCTGCCTCTGTCCCCCAAGTGCTGGGACTAAAGGCGTGTGCCACCACTGCCCGGCTGCTAAGTGCTGGGATTACAGGTGTGTTGCTCTCTGGAGAGCAAACCCAGGGTTCATGCATGCTATGGTAAGCACTCCACCAGCTTAGCTGTATCCCCAGTCTAGGACAGTTGGAAGCGGCATCTTTTGGCTTTGATTTGACAGCAGTTAGGGGGCCTTGTGCCCTGCCTCAGTGACAGTGACCGCTTGGCAAGGCCGGAAGAAGACAAATGTATTTTGGGTGAAGGGAATCAGGCTAATTCCTTTGCAGGGAGAGGCCTACCCGGAAGTCCGAGAAGACACAGGTGGGTGACTCACTGCACGTGGGTTGAGCATCTGCCCTTTGTGTGCCCTGACAGGCGGGTCTGATGGCTCCCGGCTCTATGACTGCGTGTGGCGATACAACTCAAGTGTGAACGAGTGGACAGAGGTGGCACCCATGCTCAAGGCCCGAGAGTACCACAGCTCTTCTGTTCTGGACGGGCTACTGTATGTGGTGGCAGCCGACAGCACAGAGCGCTATGACCATGCCACCGACTCCTGGGAGGCTCTGCAGCCTATGACCTACCCCATGGACAACTGCTCCACCACCGCCTGCCGAGGCCGGCTGTACGCCATCGGCTCCCTGGCGGGCAAGGAGACCATGGTGATACAATGCTATGACCCGGACACTGACCTGTGGTCACTGGTGGA